GGGTTCAAGACCCGCCTGGGCAACTTGGTGAGACCTCATCTCTACAATAAATCAAAAAGCATTAGCCGGGCGTGGTAGCGTGTGCCTGTAGTTCCAGCTACTTGGAAGGCTGAGGAGAAAGGATCACCTGAAGCCAGCAGGTCGAGGCTGCGGTGACCGGGAGCATGCCAGTGACCTCCAGCCTGGGTGATAGTGTGAGACTCCAACTCAAACTACAAAAAAAAAAAAAAAACAAGGCTTTTAGCTGGGTGTGGTGGTGCACGCCTATAGTCACAGCTACTTGGGAGGCTGAGGAGGGAAGATCACCTGAGCCCAGGAAGTTGAGGCTGCAGAGAGCTATGATCATGCCACTGCACTCCAGCCTGGGCAATAGAGTAAGACCCCAATGTAAAAAAAAAAAAAAAAAAAAATCAAGGCTTTTACTTGGCTCCAATCTGTGCTAAAGATTCAGATGTACTGAATATCTGCAACACACTTCCATTGTCCTCATTAATTATCACAAAACCTCTTAAGATGATGTTCATTTTACAGAAGAAATCCAGAGAGCGTATTTGTTGTCACCTGGCCAGTGGGTTTCAAAGCTGGAATTGTATTCAAAGCCAGCATCATCTCACATTGAGTCTTCACAGGCACCTCAAACTCATTAAGTTCAAAGTTTGTCATCTCCATCCACCCACCTCTGAAATGTGTTTCTTCCTATTTTGTTTCTCATTAAATGGCACCACCCAGTGGTGCAAATTAGAAATCTGGGTGTCATTTTGGAGTCCTCTAACTCTGTGATGTGGCACATCTGGTCAATCAGCAAGTCCTGTTTGCCTCCCGAAAGTTCTCAGAAATACTTTCTTTCCTCCAGTCCCACGGAGATTGTCTTATTTTGCATGAGCTTCATGTTATTCCCACATTTCTGCAATAATCTCCTAAAGAGTCTCCCTGCCTCCAGTACTGACCACTTTTATTAATGCTCCACATTTCTACCAGAGTAAAGTTCCTAGAGTTCTGATCACCACACTCTCTGTTTAGGGCACTTTAATACCTTCTTGCCCTTGGAGTAAAGCCCAAACTTTTTTTTTTTTTTTGAGTTGGAGTCTCACTCTGTCACCCAGACTGGAGTGCAGTGGCCGCTCCCGGCCACCGCAGCCTCGACCTGCTGGACTCTAACGATCCTTCCGCCTCAGCCTTCCAAGTAGCTGGAACTACAGGCGCATGCTACCACGCCCGGCTAATTTTTTTATTTATTGTGGAGATGAGGTCTTGCCAATTTGCCCGGGTGGGTCTTGAACCCGTGGGCTCAGGCAATCCACTCACCTCGGCCTCCCAAAATGCTGGGATTCCAGGCTGAGCCACTGAGCCCAGCCTGACACAACTTCTAATACAGCAAGTGTAAGTGGGGATACATAGTCAAAGAGCAGAATGAGAATCAGTAGAGGCAAGGAAAGTTACATCAAGGGCAGGAAGATTCTCAGCAGGATTGTTGCTGAAGGCAAGTGAAAGTGACCAGATATGGGGTTGGGGGTAGAATTCTCCTTAAACTGACTTGGCAAGACTCTTGTTAAAGTTGGCTAGGCAGACTCAACACAGGGCCCAAGGGCAAGATCTAGTCAAAAAGAGGGCTCAGAGGAGTCTGTTTAAAGTTTGGTTAAGTTGCTGGGTGTGGTGTAATCCCACCATTTTGGGGGGCAGAGCGGGGAGAGGACTGCCTGAGCTCATGGTTTGAGACCAGCCTGGGCAACTTGGTGAGACCTCGTCTCTACAATAAATCAAAAAATTAGCCTAGCATGGTGGTGCATGCCTGTGGTTCCAGCTACTTGGAAGGTTGAGGCAGAAGGATCACCTGAGCTTAGCAGGTCAAGGCCACAGTGACTGTGAGCATGCCACTGCATTCCAGTCAGGGCAACAGAGTGGACTCCTACTTTTAAAAAAAAGTTTGGTTAAGTACAAAGTCTTTGTCAATACCCACATAAAACTGAACACATGTTGAACTTATTCCACTCATGAAGGCAGATGTTATAACTGAAAAAAAAGAAAATCTAGAGAACAGATACATTTTCAGATCAAAAATACAAAAATGAATACAGAAATGGAGCCCAAGACTGTTTTTCCACAATGTGGGGAGTAGCCGGTTATGTGACTCTCTACCAGCCAGGACAGAATTTGCATGCAGATCAGTTACCTATGCTGAGTTGTAAAATAACTCCCACGAAAACAGTCTTTCCGGCAGAAGGACGGTCTTTCCGTCCTGAAGGCTCTGGACAAGTTAATTCTTCAGGGTTAGTCATCACTCTGGAAGCCTTTCCGGAATCTTCACGTGTGGATGAGATGCCATTTCTGGGCCAGCACATTTATCAGACTGTATTGTTTACATCCCTCCCTCCTTTCAGACACGCACGAGACCATGAGCTTTTTGAGGTGGATTCTGAGATTCTTTAAGTCTCTTGTTGTCGGCGTGAACATCTGCTTCTTTTTTTTTTTTTTTTTTTTTTTTTTTGAGTTGGAGTCTCACTCCGTCGCCCAGGCTAGAGTGCAGTGGCACGCTCACGGCCACCCCAGCGTCGACCTGCTGGGCTCCGGCGATCCTTCCGCCTCAGCCTTGCAAGTAGCCAGAACTATAGGTGTGTGCTACCATGTCTGGCTAATTTTATTTTTTTTAATGGTAGAGACGAGGTCTCGCCAAGTTGCCCAGGCTGGTCTCGAACCCACGGGCTCAGGCAATCCACTCGCCTCGGCCTCTCAAGCTGTTGGGATTACAGGCTGAGTCACCGAGTCCGGCCAACATCTGCTTCTAAGGAACACAACATGCTAGGGGGTAGTGGTGACACACGGCATGTTAACGGAGCATCCATTTTACTCTAATACCTGGGGAAACATCTTCACACTAAAGCAGACCTTGCCTTTCCCTCCACATCCAACGTCTCATTGTTTCTTAGCGAACCGTTTCTATTTCAGGGCCTGCGGGATACTATGGAAACACAAAAATGCCAGAGCCGCCCGCAGCGCCGTGGCCTGCGTGAGCGACGACTATTTGACCCTAAGTGGCCCTAGGCTGCGGGGGTGCAGCTGGCGGAGGATGAGGGGCTCAGCCTACCCCAGGGTGACGGCGGGTCATCGGACGCCCCAGAAACTGCCAGTCTCCGTCCTCGGAACCAAGGGCTTGAGCTCCTGCTTTGACAAGTCTGAGAGGTGGGAAAGGAGATCGCGCCGGCAGTCAGGCGGGTGAGGCTGAGGCCTGGCGCCCGCTCCCCTCGGGCCACCGGCCAGCCCCGTCGGAGCCCAGGAACCCGCCCCCCTACCACGTGGCGCGGCG